TGCTCACCTGAACATACCTTGCAATAGGGGCACTGGAAGGGTTTGTATATTCTAGTATAATCCGCAGTTTCCTTGTAGACTTTCCTTGTTCCCATGCAGTGGTGCTTTGAAAAAGCAACACATTCTGAATCTTTTCAAAGAAGGTTTTGATTGGCCAGCTTTTTCTTCGGGAAGAGAAGCTTCGTTGGGTGAAGTGAAAAAAATGACTCCACCCAAACCAGAGTATGAGAACTCGATTTCTATTCTGCATGAAAAAGACAGAGAACTGATGCAGTCAATCAGTAGTTCATTGGCTATTTAAAAGGGGGTGCTGCATCCGAAAAGACGGTTTTCAGACTGCACAGTAGTTAGCAAAATGTTGAGGCATCCCTTTAAGGGAGGCTCCTTTTTCGAGCGCAGAAAGGCTGTGAGGAGTCGGTCCTTGTGAAATAAGATTTACGTGCTTTCCAATGTCTATGAACAATTGCTTATGAACGGAGCACTTCTGCCATGCCATGGGCCCACAAATCGTAGTATCGGACGCATATAAATATTTTAAAATCTGAGTTGACTGGCATGGCACGTACCAGAACGAAATCCATGACTCAATATGCTCCATCTTTTTTTCAACTTCTGACTTGGGATGGAAATTTTGAGATACAAACTTTGCCCATAATTTCGAAGGCACTCAAAATTGCTGAAGTGCTCGATCCTATCGTCGTCAATGCTACTAGTCAAGGCTATCACTGAATGGTCAAGATAATCAAATTATTTCAAAAATAATGGGGAATAGGAGCTACGGGGACGAAACGAAGTACCCGTGAGTTGCACATTTTTCGCAGATGTGAGGAAATATGCAAGGCTGAAAAAATAGGCCGATCGAAAAAAAAGGCTTTGAGCTGTTATGTTGCAGAAATGATGATTTCCATCTTGAATATCTTGAATTGAAGGCTAAAAAAGATAAGGCGTATGACCGACGTGGCTCTTCTTCATAGGACGTGCCGTGTACTCATTTCCTATTCAGAATTATAACGATACTTGGATGGGTACTTTTCTAAACAAAAGTCGGCAAGACCGCCGCATAAAAACGCCATTTTCTTCCTTGCGGACCAGTTAAACATCCGAACAATCTCTAGAAAGCTGGAGTCTCGGACTCTAAAAGTGGTGGCGCCGACGCATGGCACGGTTTTCGTTTTTAATTGCCATCATATTTTGAGATTTCAGATGTCAACAGTTCTGGTACGATGGCTGCAAGGGACGATCTCGAAATATCTTCTCGGATCTGGAAACATGTGAACAGATGTGCGAAGCTACCAATATCTTGACTAGGGCAGGTATGTATGTATCTCTAATTATGAAAGTTAGGATGCTTTTTATTTGTCAGCACTGGTCCTATCCGAGAAATATTAAAAATGTTTCCAAAAAAAAGGACATTTGGCTAATTTGTCGAATAACAGTCAGGGTTCTTCGTCTTCTTTCTATCAGTTGAACCTAGCAGTTTACAAGTATCAAGAAAGTAAGTTTGGAGGGTCGGATGCTCGGAAAATTGGCCCGGCCCTCTGTAGAGTGGCGCTTGAGAGTTTGAGATCTTTGATCCATGGATATGGAGTTGATATTATTGCCGCCTATGGACTCAAGATTGTCATCCATGTTGTTATCGAATCGTTGACGCCTGGGCGGAGCACCACCGGAGGTCGTCGGATGTTGGGCCGTTTTGGTTTTCGCCAGTCGCCGCCTCCAGGGATTGGCCCATCCCCCACACTAACCAAAAGGCCAAATCAATGCTTTCAGAAACGCAGCTGCATGCTGCGGTGTTATACATCAGCAGTTCAACATCATTCACCTACTACTTCACTCGACAATGAGATGTCGCCGAACTCGTCCACCACAACGTGTGCAACTCCGCCCATTTGTTTGAGTGATCGGCATAGAACGAACATCGCTTTGGATGACAGTTCTTCGGAAAACCACCACTCGAAACAGCATCACAAATGTGTTTTTATTCGTCTCCACGGGTCCCGCATCATTTATAGGCTGGCATGCTGTGTATCGGCCATCGTTCAAATCCTCTTCACACTATTCCCATTGGATTTTCGAATACTCTACCTCATTACTCACATATCACTGATTGCTTCTCGTTCAGAAATCTGCTGGGACAAATTCGATATGAACTACAGGAATCAATGTCTCAATGGTGAGTTCATTTACATTCTGTCAACTGTTACCTTGCTTCATGTTCCACAGGAAGGCTGATCAGAATCATATCTGAAAGCACTGCCTTAGCAAGATGGTACTCATAAAACAACTGTGGGACTCTCTTGTCTGAGCTGAATCAAGCAGGTGGCCTCTAGTCAGCTGTTATTTATTTATTTTTTTATCTAAACGATCGATGATGAGCCAAACAAGTGTCAAGTGGACTCAATAGCACAAACCCCACTAGTTTTCGAAGAGGGTAGCAATCTAAACATCTTCCAGAGTAGTTAAAACCCCGAGAACCTTAAGGCGAAAAGGTGGAGGCCAACCTTTCCAAGGGGTTACCAAATAGCCGGAATAAGTTTGCCTATACAGTTCTCCTTGAAATTCTTTTCTGACTACGACTTTCTGGTCTCGAATGCGCTAAATATGATGGTAGTTGCGTCACTCAGTTCCAAAAAGGCAGTTTATATACAGAGTGGCCTCTCATAGTATGCACCTTTCAGTTCTAACTTTTGAAAAAAACTCCCGAGCATTTATAGAGCGGATCCTTCTATGGGGATGCTTGCATGCCTCGCAGGGAGGTTTCACGCTGTCTTTGAGATTTTCGAGATGAAGTTGATGAATTGGATCGGAAGCTATTTCAACGATTTAGGATGGATTTTTTTTTCATTCATACGGCTCGTCTTCGCTCATGTGTGAGCACCACAAACTTAAAATGAAATCGTAATGAAAATTGTAGATATACGAAATTTTGGTAACACGTAAATGATATCTTTGGGGCTCTGAATTCTGCAATATTTGGAGAATTCCAGAATTCCTTCAGAATGAGTATCCAGAAATTTTCTAGAAAAAATTTCCGGTTTCAATTTATGTTTCTATAGATCCAAAAAATGGCACATATCAGTGCGTGGCGCGCTCGTTGTGA